ATGTCCAGGACTCAGAGCTGGAAGAGACGAGAAAGTGAACTATTTCAAAGGTCTCTCTAGGTCCAGAGGGATGCTGCTTTTTCTCCGAAAGTCCTGCTAGCATGCTAGATTAGCTATGCTCAATAACAAAAGGCCAGAGCTGCAGCAGGAGCATGGCCAAGTGACCTCTGAGTAGTGGAGATGGAAGCTCCAGTGGGAAGCACAGAGGAAGGCAGAGTTAGTGCCTGGACATTAAGAGGTGTCCAGAAATAACAAGGATTCTTAAAATAATAAACATATAGCTGCGTTAGAGACTAGATATTGCAGAAACAAAAGGGATCTGAAGCTGTCTGATTTTGACTAGATCTGCCTTTTGATGGGAAAAGCATCAGTGGGCTGGCCCAAGCCAAGAACTATGGGACTGACAACTGAGTTGAAGGCAAGGGGTGAGGGTAGAGGAGGACCTTTTCTTCTCTGCACCAACAGTAACATTTTCCTGGAGAAGCATGAGATGGAGCATTCTCCGGTTTGGGTTTGGACTGACTCCAGTCGGCACTGGAAGGAAATGAATAAAAATCCTGTGCCGCACATTGATGATCACACTGAGACAGACCTGGTTTGTGGAAACAGATACACACAGGTGAGGGAGGATGAATGATATCGGAGACCAGTGCCCTGGAGCATACAGTGGTTTTGCAAAGCGCTGCCTGGTGTGCCAGCTTCCTACATCACATCATGTGGGTGCAGCCCCCCTGTTCAGGCTGGGTCTGTGACTGCCCTGCAGTCTCCACTAGTGGCATACCAACATCCTACAGGAAAACCTTTCATTTTAAGTAGGGAAACAGAAGAAGGGGAACTTTCTTCTCTAAAACAGGTGACAGATGCTTGCAAGATGCAGTCTGAGAAGCAAAAGATGGTTTTCCATTCTTTTCTTGTAACAAGAAAGTAAGAATAAAATAAATAATAAGCTGAAACATCCATTGACAATGGGCCTGGGAAAGGGGTAGTCAGAAGTGGGAGAGGCACTTAATCAAAACAATTGCAATTTAACAACCCAGCACCAGGATGTGTCTCAAGAGATTCAGTCCACTTCCACTTACCAACTGTGTGACTTCCAGGAATTCCATTCATCTCTCTTCGACAAGTCCCCTCTTGCTCTTTTCCTGTCTTATCTATTAGATCACAAGCTGTATTTTCCCCTCTCAGGCACTATCTCATAGAGTGAAGTTTTTTAAACAAGAAGTTCTGATTCTGCATGGGGCTTCTTGTGGTTGCTGACAGGTGTATGATAAAACTAGGCAGTAACCGGGACCTTACGGGACAATGCTTTCAATATATTGATGTCTCACAACCAGCCACAAGCTTCCAGGCTGCATCTCATCCAAAGCTCTCTGCTTACTTCAAATCAAAATGCACCATCTGTAAAATGGGCTCTGAAACATCCACCTGCCCTTAGGGAGTTTAAGGAAGGCTCAAACACAAGCTCATCCTACAAAGGGTGCTACAGCAGCTGAAAGCACCATTAGCAGTGAGACTGCTCTTCACATTCAGAATGAAACCCCATAAATCTCCTTCTGGTTGGGAGCAGCTGCTTGGCTGGTTAGTGTGTGAAGCCACTTTTACCGCATGTGGCTGAGAAAGTTCAGAATGAGCATAATCACAGGACACCATGCTGCCACATGCATGTGCACACTGCAGCACAGAGGCAGACAAAGGGAAAGAAAAAGGGAGCAAATCCTCTTCTCCATTTCTGCACACTAACATGCCAGAACTCTTTACACCAGCGTTAACAGGGAGCAAAATCTGGCCACAGGGTATTCTGAGTCAGGCAGTCTGGAACAAGAGATACATAGGGATTTTATGGAGTATGATATTAGAGAAATACCATACTCTGGAGAAAGCCCTGAGTGTTTAGACTTCCAGAAAAATAAGGCTGGAGGGGGCTTCGAGAAGGCTCTTCTGCATTAAAGCTTAACTTTCAAATCACACAGTCTACTGTTTTTAGCTTCCACAACAGCTATTACTGCCTTAACAGCTTGTTTATTATCTACTTTCAGCAAAAGCTTAACATTGCCACAGTCCTCTTCTATTAAACATTCTGGGGAGGCATCATGGTTTTGGATGGCTATGCAAACGTAATCACAATCAAGCAAGCTCTTTTTGTCTTTTACAAATCTCTGCTTCCCTCTGTACACAAGACAGGGGCAGCATGATGGCTTTGAAGAGTTGAGATGCTACAAAGACAAATCCGGGTTCTGCCAAATACCAAAGGAGCAGTGCTAAATCATGACTATTTGCTCAGAAATTACCTAGTGCTTCTGACTCTCACTCACATTTAGTGGACCAGTAGGTTGGCCTGAGCCTGTGAACCCCCACACAGTGACCAGGCCTTGCTCGTGCGACCAGCCCAAGGCTCAGCCCTATGGACCTCAGAGAGCAGGAGCTCCTTGTCTTCTGACCCTGCTGAACTCGGTGCCAGGCACATCAGCAGGGCTCCCTGAATAACAAATAGCACCTTGCAGCTCTTAATGCTGTCACCAGGCTACACCTGACCCAGCTAACTCTAGCCTTTTCTCGCAACTTAATAATACCTAAATAATTAATTACTAATAACATGGGGGATGGAGGGGGCAGGCTTGTTTTGTTTTGAAGTCCAATTATCCAAGGATTTGGAGAGAAATCCAGGAACTGCAAGTGAAAACTGAGGAACCTCTCTTTGCTAATTGTGGGGCTGTTTCCAAGACTGCCTTTTCTAACCATGTGATCACACTGTACAACGAACATTTTGGGTGTGCAAAACAGTAGTGACATTGTTATGCCTCCATGAAAGCTGGCTGCTTCTGTTCAGCCACTTGTTTTCATCCTTTTCCACAAAAATACACATGAGCTACAGATAAGCTGCTCATTAAAGAAAGGCATTTTATTCCTACAGCATTGCTTCCTTTTGTCACTCCTGTATTCAAGAAGAGGGAAGACCCAAGAACTACAGGCTGGTCAGCCTGATCTTGATCCCTGGGAAGGTGATGGAGCAAATAATCCTGGGAACCACTTAGAAACATATGAAAGACAAAAATGTGATTGCGAGTAGACATACAGATTTGTGAAGGGGAAATCATGTATACCCAGCCTGATAGCCTTCTATGATGAGGTGGACTTGCTGGATGAGGGGAGAGCAACAGATGTTGTTTATGTTGACCTCAGCAAGGCTTTTGACACTCTCTCAAACATCCTCATAGGCAGACAGAGGAAGAACAGACTAAATAAGTAGACAGTGGAGTGGACTGATAACTGGCTGAACCGCTGCGCTCAAAGTCCAGCTGGAGGCCAGTCACTAGTGGTTTACCCCAGGGGTCAATAGTGCTTAACGTCTTTAATAAAGAACTGGATGATGGGGCAGAGGGCACCCTCAGCAAGTTCACAGCTGATACAAAACTGGGAGGGGTGGTGATGTACCAGAGGGCTGTGCTGCCATCCGGAGGGACCTGGACAGGCTGGAGAAATGCGCAGGCAGGAAACTCATGAACATCAACAAAGGGAAATGAAAAGTCCTGCACCTGGGAAGGAATAACCCCATGTATCAGTATATGCTGGGGCTGACCAGCTGGAAAGCAGCTTGGCAGAGAAAGACCTGTTGATCCTGGTGGACACCAAGCTGAAGTCCGCAATGCACTCTTGTGGCATGGAGCACCAAAAGCATCCTGGGCTCCATTAAGAGCAGCATTGCCAGCAGGTAGAGGAAGATGATCATTCTCTACTCAGCACTGGTGAGACATCTGGAGTGCTTGGTCCAGTTGTGGGCTCCTCGATAAAAGGAAGATATGGACTTCCTGGAGCAAGTCTAGTGAAGGCCCACAAGGATGATTTAAGGGACTGCAGCATCTGACATACAAAGAGAGGCTGAAAGAGCTGGGACTGTTCAGCCTGGAGAAGAGAAGATTCAGGGGGATCTTACTGCTGTGTATAAATACCTGGTGAGAGAGGATACAGAAAGTGCAGCCAGACTCTTCTGAGTGGTACCCATTGAAAGAACAAGAGGCAACACACACAATTTTAAATGCGGAAATTCCATTTAAACATAAGAATACTTTTTTACTGCAAGAGCATTCAAACACTGGAACAGGCTGCTGAGAGCAGCTGTTCAGCCTCCACCCTTGGAGGTATTCAAGACCAAACTGGACATGGTCCTAAGTATCCTGGTCTAGCTGACCCTGCTTTGAGCAGAGGGTTGGGGACTAGACAATCTCCAGAGGTACTTGCCAACCTCAACAATTCTGTGATTCTCCAGCCTTTTAACTTTGCATTCACTCAGTGATTGTAATCAAGAATATTCCTTCTGTCCTACACTGCTGTCTGAGTGCTGTACAGCTAACAGCAATAGCAACAGTGACTTCCTTCTAGGGCTTCACAGCATCTCCTGCTTTTCTTTCTCAGAAGGAAGCGTACAACAACTTTGGGGGCAGGGGGATGGCTCTTATAATTTGGGAAGTAAAGGATGATTTCATTGGCATTGGGTAGTTTTTCTCAAACAGGAAAGCTCTGCAGTGTTTCCTGATGATGGTCACACTCTAAAATACCCAGTTATTTAACAGCTTCCTTCACCCTCCAGTGTGTTAGTTTAGAAACAGCAGAATTTTTCTTACCAGAAGACCTACAGGTCTGCTCTATCCTTTACTTTCCACCTATGTGTTCATCCACTCTGGTATATTAAAAACAGGATCATTCTCCTTACTTGGAATATATTCAATGCGTGAAAATACAGTATACTCTAGTGAGTTAGCTTATTTCAGCACAGACTGCTGCCTTTAAGGAGGAAATGGAAGTACTTGTCCCCCAAAGGATGGGGAATGTCCACTGACAATTAATTGCTACTTCTCCCAAATTGTAACAGAGCAAAACTATTTGTTTCTTCAAATCCAATCCACAGAATTTTGGACTTCATTTTTTTTTCCTAAATAGATATGTTTTTAAAAAAAATAAATTAATTAATAAATAAGAATCATGTGAACAAATGTAGGACTTACATATGATCCATAATTCACTGCTAGGGTCTGCAAAGCCCACGGCAGGCCTAGGCCAATTAAAATATCAAAAACATTGCTTCCGATGGAGTTGGACACAGCCATATCTCCCATACCTGCAGGAATGGAAATCATGTACAATCAGACATACACTCAGAAAAGTCTTTCAGCTTCTAAAGTGAAATACATTAATCTGAGCTAATCCAGACAATTTCCACAGATTAAGGCAAGAGTTAAGGGAGATCCCCCTCACCCCATCCCTTCCCTCTCCCCTTTGTCCTCCCCACCATACAAGGCCAGCAGGGTTGAAGGGGCTGAACCCACCTTCCAGGAACATCTAAGAACTTCCCTCAACTAATCCTCCGCTGCTGTGGGGACCCTGGCCACTGGCTGTGCTGGCTGTGACCTGCTGGCACTCTGTTGCCATGCTCAGTGGGGCTGTCGATGCTTTACTGTAACCATGACACATGAGTTTCTATACTGGACTGATTAGATTAGGTCTTCGGGTAGTCTATTAAGTAGCCGGCTGTTTCAATGAAGAGCCACTGGGTTTGTTACCCAAAGCAGTACCGACAACTTTCTTTTTCTCTTAAAACACCTGTTGCTGGAGTCACAAGGGGGAGAAAAAAAAGTTTTCCTTAAAAACAGTAGTATCTTCCAGACCTTATGACTGCGGAGAAAAGCTGGAAAGTGACCTGAAAGACCCTTATGCTATGTTCTAAACAATTCTATACCACCGATATTTAAATTAAGAAAAACGTTGTGACTTTTGGGGAAGGCTTGAAGTTAACAATAGTGCCAAAACTTGTTCCAGACTGTCATTAAGAACCTGTTAGCTGCTTTGCAATAGCAACATAATTAATTTCCTTCTTTGTTCTTGTTTTAAATTTCAGCCTCAGGAAAAGGGCTCTGTATGTTTTCACATTCTGGATACACCTCCGCTACCTAGAGAGGAAGAGTACACAAGGAAACACCTCCATAGCAGTACAACATCTCTGTGATGAACCTACCTTGCCTTGCCACAATAAGGCTTGCCATGCAGTCTGGCACACTGGTTCCAGCTGCCAAGAAAGTGATGCCCATGATCACATCTGGAATTCCCAGTGTGTAGCCAATGATTGTCACCTAAGGAGAGGAAATAAACTGTCAAGCTGTTTATAAGAATTAAAATCACAGACCAGCTTGGCCCAGTTCTGCAAGATGCTGTGAGACAGAGTTTATTGCTCAGTGCAAACTCACGCTTTCTTTAAAGAGAAGCATATCATGTAATGAGGTCTGCAGCAAGCTAACAGGCTCAATGACCCAGCCAGTGCACAAAACTCCCCTGTGAACAGGCCAACTATGCTTGGATTTCCTTGTGTTTTTATTTATCCCCTTCTACCTTTAGGATAATGAGGTAGAATTAAGTTCCTGTTGACTAGAGTAGTTGTGCAAGAATCTGGCTTTTGTTCACGCTGAGTTCAAAGTGTTATCATTCACAACTCTGTCTCTCAAGCTTGCTTGCTCCAAGAAAAGGAAAAGCTGTTGAGGCCAGATTCTTACTAGCATCAGGGCCTCTTTACACTGCCCTGCACAACAAGGAGGTGTTAAATTGGTGCAAGTGTAATTTTTTCCCATATTAAAGAATCTGGGTGAAATTCCAGCCCTGAATCAAGTTCAAAGGCCATGGCTACTGGCCCCTAACTTTCTTTCTGAGTGTGGACAGGTCTAATAGAAATGGAAGCAGACTTAAGGTTTCTCATCTAAAAATTCAGGTAGGTAGAACTTTCTACACATTTCTCTAAGCTGACAAAAGCCACTTCTGTTGCCTCTCCCAGGCTGCGGTTTCTGCTTTAGTTGGTACGTACCATCCACACCATCATGTAGGAGAAAGCTGCAATCCAGAGGGTAGAGGAAGCAAAGGTAACCATAAACCATTTTTCCAAGTGGGGTTTGTTACAATTGGGCACTGTGAAGTACAGGACAAAACTCAATGGCCATGTGAAGAGCCACTTCAGAATTTCTATCTTGCCAGCTGTAAAACAAAAAAAGGGAAACAATCACAATTCTAGTCTGCTTTAGTCCAAAATGTTATTATTTTGTTAATATTAACAAGCAAGATGCCAGGGGCACCTCAACCTAACTGCTATCCAAACAAGACAATGACAAGACATTCTTTGTTCAGAAGATCGCGGTGTGATGGCAGAAATGGGAGGGCAGAGAGGGGCACAGGGAAGGAGTATGAAGTGCCTCCCTGAGAGTTTGTTAAGTAATGGGTCAGAGCACACCTGCTACCCTCCCTGGGTCAAGTTCTTACAGGTACCATACAAAAAGCAAGTTCTAGAAAGAGATATGATCCATCTTCAACCACCTAAGAGGAGGGTATAGGAAAGATGGAGCCAGGCCCTTCATAGAAATGCACAAGGAAATTATAAGAGCCAATGGACTCAACTTGCAATAAGGGAAATTGAGAATAGGTGCTACCATAAGTTGTGCATTTTCTTTTTTTTTTCCTCCTATGAGGGTGGTCAAACACTGGAACAGGTACCCCAAAAGACTGTGAGATCTCCATCCTTATAGATAATCAAAACTCAACTGGACACAACCTTGGGCAACCTGCTCTGAGCAGGGGTTTGAACCAGAGATCTCCAGAAGTCCATGCTGACCTTTCCCATACTACGAAGCTAGTGTCATGGTCCATAAGACATCTAAATTACTCTCTTCAGGGCTCACTTTTTTTCCTTACTCAAACTACAGCTACACTGTTTGAGTAAGGAGATCTGAACAGGAGTTCCCAAAAACATCTCTCACGTGTAAAGGGCAGGACCAGACCCTACAGTATTCTGGCTTGTCTGCAACACAGCAGATTTGGCCAGCAGCCCAGCAGATCTTGCCAGCTGTGGCAACTGTGAGTCAAAGGTAGGGCAGGGATACGTTATAATTATCCCAGGACTAGAGCCCTGATGAGGTAAGAGGGACTTGGCAAAAAGGAGATCTCCATCCTGCAGGCGCAGCACTCAGCAACCTGAGGCACATGTGGTTTTTCACAGGTCACAAAGCTGTTCTAACTTTCTAAGCTCTCCAGAAAGAGTGAGAAGGCACTGTGGCCGTGCCTAGTTAAAATCAGGAAGCAGAGGTGCCCAGGACCTTCTTTTGTCTCCGCTCCACATCAGCGCCACCACTGCCTTGTCTCCGCTAGCACTACACCTTACCACTGAGGTAAAAGCGCACCTCATTTCCCAGCAAAAGTAAGGCCTAGATGCAGGTGCATCTGACCTGCGTTCAGGCACCCTGCCAGCGGCTCCACCATCCTCAGCTTCCTCCACAGTCAGCAGAGAGAGGTGGGTCTCTCCAAGAGGGTGACCCAGGTTTTGGGGGCAGGAACAACCCCACGGAGATTGCTGCCTCTCCCCTCTGACTGCAACATCAGCTCCGGGCCAATGTATGAGCTGCAGCAGAGGTGTGTCCAAGCCCAGGAGTCTGCATCCTGAGAAGTTCCTGCTGCTTCCCAGTTCTTCCCACCTTTTAGCCGTGACCAGGAACTACACTGCAAGGCACAGGCTGATGGGAGCTCTCAGAGACACTTCTACCTCAACACGTGTTTGCGATGCTTTCTGGCACACCCAAACTGAGTTTTGCTTTCTGGAACAACACAAACCCAGGAGCTTCTTACTGGGTAGGTCAAAAGGTGTGTATGGCCCTTCATGGTCATCATCATCATCATCATCATCTTCCTCTTCCTCATCGTTTTCATTGTTCTCGTTATCCTCATTCTCGTTCTCTGTCTCATTCCCAGCCTCAGCCATGTCTTCATCTCGCCGTGTGCCATTCACACCCCGCTCGGTGGAGTTGCTGGGGCCCGTTCCATTCTCAACCACGTGCTTGATAGGTATTTTGATTGCTACTTCTGACTCACCATTGGTGTAAGTCCTGCTGTTGATCAGCCTTTGTCTCTGTAAACATAGGCACAAATTCTTGCTGAAAGACAGATTTTTTTAAATTTAATTTTTTAAAGAGAAAGGGAGGAACAGAGGATGTCCAGAGTTCTTTAAAAGTTTGGCTTTAAAAGCAAAAGGGATTAATTTTGATCAGGTATAATGCAATGCTTGCTTGCAGATGACTAGATAAATCTCACATATACAACTTTTATAAGAGGAGGACCAGTGGCTGTAGAATTGACTCCAGGAGTACTCCAAGACCAGGGCCAGACTAAGTGCAGACTCTGCGGAGTACCGTGTTATTAAGTAAGTGCAAGCGATATTAATGTCCAATCAATGCAGGGGGCACCTCCTGTGAGCAACAGCTACAGGTAACAGAACCACATAATGACTTGAAACTCTCTTTGCTAAAATCTCCATGGGGACAGATAACAAGGGACGATTTAGTAAAGTCAGTGACAGAAGGATAAAATCTGGGAAAATGCTATCAGGAATCCAGAAGAAGCACAACAGTTCCATTTCGACTCAAACACTGCTACAGAAAAAGGCAAATTCAGAAGGAGAGGGGGAGGCATGGGGAGATGAAAGACATACCTCATTGATTAACATGCGGCTGGCCATGGAGAGACGTGTTTTGGGAGGGAAGTGGCTGGTTATCATGATCCGGAGCCCAGCCTCAGAAAATGAAAGCTGGTGTGGGTAGGCAGACAGCAGCTCATCCACCATGATCACTGAGGCTTTACGGTGGAAATTTCCTGAAGCCAAGGAACAAAGAGAAATTGAAGTCTTCTTCCAGCAGTTTCTCCCTCTGCCCTACGTGGCTCTTGGAAGAATAAACCCGCAGGTTCCAGAAGTCCTTTGTAAGAACCATTCCTTCAGCTACCACCATTCAAAATATGCCGCCTCTGTCCTTAATTTCTGTCTTTACACGTCCTACATTTCTGTCCTTAAGTAAATTGCCAACATGGTATCTCCACCCTTACTCATTACGGAGAATTAAATCTGCTCTGTATAGCCCACCATAGGCCTGTGTTAGGCAGATGACTGCTTCCGCAGAAGCTGTTCCACCAAGGTAGAAATGGTGCTGCAGTAAAGCTGCATTAATTCCACTATTATAATCTGCACTTCTGTGAGGATATCGGCCTCACCCACCATTAACCGTAGACAGGGGTGAGGAAATAGTCACTGTGTTCCTGCAGGGTACCAATGCAAATGAAAAGCAGGTTCCTGCATCCTGGACTCGCAGCTCATGGCTGGGAAGTGCTATCAAACCTGGCAGCAAGCGCATGTGCCAGTCCGTGGGGTGTGACCCACAGTGCAGGAGCAAAGGAACAAGGAGACAGGGGCAGGTACCTGAATCACGCTCCAGCTGGGGCACAGTGCCAGTGCCCATTACCTCTGGGGTGCCACAGTGCCAGCATCCATCCCTTCTGTGCCTGGATGCTACCTCGAGCTGTGAACTCTGGGCCAGGACTGGGACCTGGCAGCAGGGAAACCTGAGGTCTTTCCCAACACATCTCTGCTTTGGTTTATTAAAATCAGTGCTGAACACTGGCAAATGTTTCATGGCATTACTATTTATTACCACCACTGTTAGTCTTACAGAAGAGCATCTCCTTGGCCTTAGTGTCACTTTTTTTTTTTGACTGAGAAGGTTTCCATGGATTGGGGTAGACAAGTGGGGTCATCCATATTCAAAAAAACCAGAGCAGCCAGACAGCTTTTCCTTGTGACTTTTTCCATGCTGGCATTTCCTGCATGGCACTTGGGGGAACTGCCCAGAAATCCTCCTGTTTGATTCTTTTTGGTCCTCTGTGCAGAAAAGCCCTCAGAAAGCAAACAGTAGTGTCTGAAACCCTCAGGCAACCTGTTGCAATGGGTGCTGTTTGTGACCCCATGCTACTGGCTGATGTGCACAGCAGCACCACTTGTCTGTCTGGGCTTCCAGTGGCCCAGTGCCAAGTAAATACAGGAACAATCTGCAAGAAAATGAAGCAATCCTTTCGTCTTCCTTCCTCAGCCAGTTTGAGTAACCACAAGCGTCCAAAACAAAAAATTACCAGCAGCTGAGCAGTGTCATGCGAAGATGCATTCTGGGGAGATTTCAACCAAATCCCAGAACCAAAACTGCCTCATTGGTGCGTAACGCTGAGGCCACCGGGTAAACCTAGATGACTAAGGCCCAAGTTTATGCTTACCAAGTTTTACCAGTCTAGCTTTACTGGTACAGAGTGTAGTCATGTTGCCGGCACAGTTTTGCTGTTGAGCCCCAGGCTACAGAGCTGTTCCCATGAAAGCAGCTTCCCCAAAGCAGAGTGCACAGCACTAACAAAAGCCTTCCCTCAGCAATAAGGCAGTAACACGATAGCTGGCCTTTGGTAGACTCAAAGGGTTTGATGTCAGCAAACCAACCCCTCTACATTTCATGTTTAGTTGTGTACTGTATAAAGACTATGTCTTTCAATTACTGTTTGCAGGAAGAGAGAGACCTATTTTTGTTAAATATTTTTTTTTAGTCCAGAAAAAAAAAAAAAAAGGGCAGCCCCTCTGTAGTCAGAGACCAGGACTGCTTTAGACAAGCTAGAGCTCTAGAGCTCCTTCTCAAGTTAAACCAGTGACTGGACAGGGGCAGGTGTTATTCCTGAGGATATGTGCATATAAATCCCAAGCAGTTACTGCACATGCTTGTTGACTGTTGCAAAGATAAAAAAAACCCTATCTTCTGTAAATACAGTTTAGCACATGCTTGCAAATGCACACATCGAGCTACTGCTGCTGAGCTATGGAGTGGGTGAATTTTTTTTAATCTGAAGAAATACAAACATTTTTATACATGATCATAACTAAAGTCAAGCAGGAGTAGATTTCAGCCAAAGTGAAATCCACTTAAAGTTTACATGGAAAAGTTGTGCACATTCAAGACAGCATGTGCAGTATGATCATGCTACCAAGACCAACACAGAGTCCCCACCCTCCCTTAACCGGGGGGAAGTGTACACTAGTATAAGTAGGGCCTTTCTCCCTGCCCAGTTTCTGTCACTTTGGAATGGAGTTAAATTTAACTGGCGGTACTAGATGTAAATGGGCATCTTAAGTGCAGAATAACAGCGCCCACAGGAGGACTTACAATGGCATGGCTGTAACGGTCTAAATAAGTAGCTCCTGGGCAAGTCAGCCTTGAAGCTGGAGGAGTCCTTTCAGCCAGACACTTGTCCAGCAGCAATAACTACCCAGAGGAGGCCTGAACTGCCTCCAGCAGCAAAGGACGCAGTAGCTGGGGTCACCACACCGTGCCCCCAGGCACAGGAACCATGGCCATCTGGCAGGGGAGTTACAAAAGGACCACCTCTGCGCCTATTTCATCGCTGATAGGCAGAAGCAGGCCACACTGTATGACTAACAGACAAACTTTTAAACATTCAGAATGATGCAAGCAAGCAGGGTGACTTACTGGAACAGTTACCTTTCTTTAGTAACACCACTGTGGCATCGCAGTTGCTGTTATCATCCATTTCCGTGTTACTTGCTAAACCATTCACCATATTTGCAGAGTTTTTTGTCTTCCTTTCAAAGCAGTGATGTATGGTTGAGTTGTACCTGCACAAATGAAACAAATTCTAGATGTACCTTTGCTCCTTCCACGTGGATTTCTTGACAGTCTTCCTTTCCCAGACTCATATCCTGTGCGGTCCAATTACGGGAGGGAAGAAAACCACTCTGGTTTTAAGGAAATCTAGCCACAGTATGCCAGCACTCTAACTAAACTGTATACAATGCAATCTCTCCATAGACAGAAGGCTACAATAGATACAGGACATGACTCTTGAATGACATGTATTATGTGCAATTAATACACTGCATAGCAAATAATGATTACTTGTCATCATCCAAATTTATTTTTTTACCACGTAATCACACCTGAGCATGAGTGTTGTTTTACCTGTGAAGACCTACCACAGAAACACAACACCATATGCTAAATTCTGTTCCAACTTGGGAGGGGGGGGAGAAATATTCTTTGTTTCTTATTTTGTTTGGAGTAGCCAGGAGCTGACAAAAATATGAGCCGAGGATCTCACCATGATACTCAAAGGCAAGGGTAGACCACTGTGAACACCTGGCCAAGGTCCCTAACCAGGCCGACAATCTCCCTGGCTATATCCAAACAGGTCTGAAACACCTGTTCACACTACAGCATTGCTTTCAGAAAAAAATATCTATTCTAGATTCAGACATTACAACTGTCTGTTTTGCTGGTCAGTTAATTGTTGCAAGGGTGAAGCTACCCTCCATGTTTAAGACAAAGTTTCTAATTATTAGAAGTGAGATGAATTCTGACTTATGTTCCCTTCAACCCAGCCTGAGTGTTTTGCTGTTCTCACTGAGAATTGCTCTCACAATATTTACTCTATTCATAATTTCAAAACAAATCTCTACTCTTACTTGTTGAGACAAGACCACTGGTGTGCTTGGCAGCTGGTAGGTTTTGTTGAATGTTCCAGTTTAAATCTGGGTTTCCTTTCCACTGGCTTTTAAAAACAAGGCAGGAGGAGGGGAACCAAAGAACAGAACAGACTAGTTTTGCTAGTATGAACTTGTGTGAAAGAAGTTACACAGGTCAGATGCTCAGAAAATCCATGCTGATTGTGCTATAGTTTTATCAGGGGTCTCCAAGCAAGCAAGAACAAATTGCTGTGGAGTTTTGCACCCATAAAAAGTAGACTGAAATCTCCCATGTGTTTGTTTCTGAGTAGGGATGCTAAAGCAAAGTCAGAAGAGACTGGTCTGGTGGGACTCAAGAGACACATTCGATTCTCTGCTCTGCCGTGGACTTGCTGCATTAGCCTTAGTCAGCACACACAGGGTGAGATCCGTAAAACACCATCCACCTTTACACATCTGATCCTCGGATCTGTACTAAGGGGATAGGCAGCCCCTTCCTGCCTCATCAGGACAAATTACAGACAGGGAGACGACAGGGCAAAGTGCTTTAACCCCTGCTATGGGAGGTGCTGCTGGCGTGCAAGCTGGGCCATGCAATGGAAGCCCTGCCCACAGCCTGCAGCTCTCTTCAATTACCTTTGCAACCTCTGGAAAAGTACTGGAGCAGGAAGCCTTACAAGCTAAACAAGCCGAAGGCGCATTTGACTTACTTCATGATAACGATGTAGATGACATACATCAGCACTAAGACTAAGGACTCCCACCTGCAAACAAGAGCGACACAGAAAACACATTAGAGCAGGGCACAGCAGACAGCTGCCCAAGTTCAGCCATTCCCCCATCTGTCACACCACAAACTTGTGGAAAGGCTTGACCCTCTTGGGCTGTCTTAAGACACCTCTAGAAAAGGGGATATGTAAAGAAATGGCTCACATGCCCATGTGTGATGCCTCCTTTGTTTTCTTGACTTCTGCTCTGGTTTTACTTGGACAAATCAACCTGACAGCTAAGAACAAATGACTAAACCCTGAAGTTCAGTGAACAAATCGTGCACCCAAGGAATATCGACACTTCTGTAAGGACAATACCTGTGGAGGCTGCAGCAGAGGGAAGGGAGCAGTCATCCTGCTCTGCCTGCATGGGTCTAAAGCAGGACGTTGGGCTTTCTGAGGCATGCTAAAGCACACTGATTATGCCGAGATGACCTGAACAAGGGGCAGCTGCTCTTTCGCTACCGCTGCTGCATAACCACTGAGAATGTATAGCAGGCAGCAGTTTAAACTGCTGATTAGATATTCTTATTTTTTTTCTCCACTGTTTCTGAGTCAAACTAATGAAATTTGCATGAAAACAAAATAGAATATCACTTTTAGAACTTGTTTCTAGGTAATCTTTTTCATTGACCAAAATGCTGTATTCTGCATAGCTCCCTATGGCAATCTGCTAGTCCTTGTGGAAGTCATCCATTTTCAGACTGCTATATACTAAAACTCATGGGCCATTTTCTCTTTAAGGATTTTGAGACGTTGCACTAACCATATCAATATCTCATTCCCTGCTTCTGGCAGTTCAACACTCGGCTTCCACATTGATGTGTTTTAGTTGAAGGGCACAGTCAAATACAATTGGGCCTCAAGTCAATTTTAGTTAAAAAAACAAAAAACAAACAAACAAACAAAAAAACAAAGAAAAACAAGCCATTGCAAAACTCTGTGTTTCAGAAATCCCTCTCTGAAATTAAACATAAATCCCGCAGTGAGAACAAGTTTAAGAAAACATGCAACCCAAAAAGCCTGACTCCCCCTAGTGCTTGTAATCTAAATATTACTGGCTGTGAGTGAAATCAAAGCTACCACTGTCACTCTACAAGCCCTGAGAGGTGCTGAAAACAAAACCATGAAAGCAAAACAACCGAAAGTACACTTTTAAAAGTGTTTGAAGCCCTCCTCACCTACCACACCTATTACGGTACCTTTAAGTACATTCATGGGGATATTAACATATACATTTTAACATATATCTATATTTTTCTTCCTTCAAACCCGTCATTTGCTCTTTAATATTGCCGTAGGAGCTTTTGGTTTTTAAATTATTAAATTATTAAAAATCCAAATATTGGAACACACTTATTTATGACTGCTTGGGTGGTCCCTTCTGTTCCCAGGCAGCTGACATTCCTGGCACACTGGCACCCAAGCAGCAGTCTCTGCCTCTGCTGAGCACATCGCCATCCCCGGGCTGCTGCAGGGTGGGCAGAGGGCACCGACTGCAGCTGCTGTATCGGGAGACAGTCTGAGTGACGCTCTCCTAGGCTTTCCTTTCTGGCTCAGAAAATGAGTTATTCTAGCCCATCTTGTGCTGAGGTTTCTCACGCAGCAGGAAACTGCTGCCTGAGTTGTCCTGCAGAGCTTTTTAGCTTTCCCCTCCTTCCCTGATGAACCCTACTTATTGCAGCTTTTGTGGTATAATCAGAAAAAATGAAAAGAAAAGGGATTCACGGCCGGATATACTTACCAGGAGACTTTTTCATCATAAATAAACTGTGGAGAAAAGGTTTAAAAATAGGCACGTTACACATGAAACCACAGCTGAAAACAGCTCATCACCTGAGCGGGGGACAGAGTGGGCAGAGTGACCCAGGGCTCAGGGCAACGGGATTAAGCTCTGGTCTGTTTTGGCACTGCCCTCCTGCCCAGCCTTTGAACTTTTCAACCCTTCGTTTCTCTCACCTAGTAAAGGCAGGCAGGTACTCCTTCCCAAATACCACGGGATCCTTGCGTAACCGGGGCTATTGCAGCAGCGAAGCAGAAGCGGTTACAGGGAAAGCAGAAGTGAGTCAGAGAAGGGGCTGTACCTGCCTCTGGACCGCACGGCTGCTCTCACCAGAGACACGGCCTCTTCCCCTGACCTGTCCTCGGGTGGCAAGGGGACGATCGGTGTGCAGAGCTACAGCCAGCGCCACAGCTGCTGTGAAATTTTGCCGGCTACAAGCCGGGCCCGGGGCATTACTTCCTTAAGATCCACACGGTCACCACGCGAGCTGAAATTTAAGCGCCGCGACAGCCGCTTTAGCACACCTGCGGGCGGGTGCCGCAGCCTTCCTAACGACGCTGCGCCAGCCGCCTCGGGCAAGAAACGCGCCTCCTCCTGCGTGCGTGAGACGCTCCGTGCCGGGGAAGAAACAGGGCGATGCCAGAGAGGCGACGGGTGCTCGGCCCGCTGCGCCCGCCTTCGGGAGGGTCTGAGGGGGCAGCCGTCGGGCGGTGACCGGCAGGAGGTGGCCGCAGAGCTCCACGGCCGGGCCCTTCCCCGGCCCGGGCCCTTCCCCGGCCCGCGCTCTTCCCCGGCCCGCGCTCCGCCGCCGCCAGTCCCGCTGCGAGCAGAGGGGGCTGCCACCCTCCCTTGCTGGCAACACCGCTCCGTCTCCGCCTCTCCGTCCCCCCCAGGCGGACGTCTCCCTCGCTGCCGCAGGACCCACCTGCCGCGGCTGCTGCAGCAGGGAGGCCCGAGGGCCAGCCAGGCCGCCCGGCCGGCGAGCGGGGTGCCCGAGGGAGCCGGCCCTTCACGGCAGCACGGGGCCCCGCTGGGAGGTCGGAGCTGGGGTAGCTTCACGGCACCCTGCGGCCCCACGGCCTGGGCCCCCGCTCTGCCCCGTCAGCCTGGGCCAGGAGCCTGCTTCCCGTTGAGCCCTTCCCAAGCACCTGCGCCCGCTCTCGGCTCCAGGCCGCGCAGAGAGGCGGGAACGCCATGCTGGCACCGGGGAAAGGCGTCCATGGCAGCGCACCAGAGAAAAGGGAGGGAAAGGGAACGAGCCTCTGAAGGCACAGTGAAACACTTCCCTTCAGCGGTATTAGCCCGTAAAGAGCGACTCCTGCCCGACAGCCAGCACCAAGCAAGCGTTACATTGCTTACTGGAAGAAAACGTGACCGCAGAACGTTACGCGTGTTATAAGTTACAGCTCCCAGTCACCGTGATCTAATCTGACAAGGCCTGTTTTAGCTTACAATGTGTTGGTGTGATGGGACGTCAAAGCGTGTGCATTGACCTTTGTGATTAAAAATAGCACCCATCCCACTTCTGTCACTAATGACTCTGACCACGTCCCTTCCAGTTAAGATACACAGGCATCTTTTGCCTTTCAAGGGAAACAGAGTAACAGTTTTGCCAAGCTCTACAAGAAGACAAGGTAGCATTGTAGTATTTTAAGGATTTAAAAAAAAAAAAAAGGAAAAAATCACAGGGCTGAATCAAGGTGAGGTAAGTATGGTGAGGTTCATCCACTTCGAATCTCTGTGAGTTCACTCAGTCTTATCAAACGGCCTGGAGCACCAAACAGGTGAGTTTATACTGCTTTGCTATTTATTACTGCAGCACTGCAATTCCTTTGCTAGTGGAAATGGAAGGAGACAAAGTCACATTGATTTATCCAGCAGAATATCAAGCTTTTTAAAGCTGCTGAATCTCAACATTGGCAGGAATGTATTTATTTCCCCTCAGGTGTATTTATGATTAGTGAAGACACCAGTGGAGTACAACTTACAATACGGCACCTCAAGCCGCTATTTAAAATACTATGAGAGCAACCTTCTACAAGCAGTACCATCCCTCAAGAAAGATGATTATACTTCAGCTGCAGCAAAGTCTCAATGCCCTGATATGGCAAATTATCCCTACACGGCAAAGCGTTTACATGCCTTCTAAAATAGGGGGAACCGCATGCAGGTCGTGCTACGGTCTGCATGGAGCCTGTGGCTTGTCTCCCAGCAGAGACATTGGGGACTGGAGAGTCAGTATTTGCAGAACAATGTGCTGCCACCTAAATTTGATTCTGCCTTAAAAGCATAGGAAAGACCCAAGCCATTGTGAAGCCAGGGGTCCCTGGTTGAGTGAAGGGGAGGAGAAACTTCTTAAACTGAAGCAGTGTTTGACTCTGAAAGGAAAACTCTTCATTTGCCATCAACTGAGGAGCAATATTGCATATAAAGGGGTTGGTAAATCAGCTGGGAGCTAAATCTTTAACCATTTAAAATGGTTTCCCTTCCTCCCATCTATCTCTGTTTTTCTCTAAGAGGTGTTTAAAAGTCATTTGCAATGATTGATGTGGAGTAATGCCGAAGAGAAGTGGGACACACTCCACACCTCCCAAGCCACAGTTAGTCACATAGTGCTGTTACATGGGAATAAGACTTCTGGCAATGCCTTCAAGCCTCCACTAATGCCTGGAGTTGCACAGTCCTGCTGCCCTGGTGTCATAGTGTAACCAGCCGAAACCATCTGCCCTGGTGTCATGGTGTAACCAGCCAAAACCAGGACACCTGGCTGCCTGAAGGACCTTGAATCTCACAGCTGGTAAGATGAGCAGAAGAGTGGGCATACATCTAGAGAGAAGCTAACCCGAGGCTTAGGAAAAAAATAACAGTATCCTGATATTATGGGGTACCCTCCCAAAACAAAAGGACTGCTGCAGCTCTGTAATTATGAAGAACAGCTTATACAGAAATAAAGTATAGGAGAAAAGTCTTAAGGATAACAGAGACGTCTGTTCAATGAGTCATACAACCTTCTCATTCCATAGGACACATAGCTAGGAATTTCAGGGGCGCACTGGACACAACACAATAGAGAATGGCTCTCAACATCCTGAAGCAACTGACAGCCACAAGGATGAACCAGCCATGAAAAAAAGCTGCCTTGCTTTAGGAATTTAAAAACTGATGACAGATTCAACAGATTTTTGTCTGCCACCATGCAATAAATGAAAGACCCAATCCAAACAACAGGACGCTAAAAGCCAGGCAGCTGCCCACATCTGTGCTTCCCGTGGAGTAAACTAAGAGAATGCCTGCTAGATATCTTTAAGCTTGTGCAATGTAATTTATTACAACTAGTGGGTGTGGCCAAGCTTGTTGTTTAGGAACACTTTTTCGTATGACGGTACTGTCAAGCTGTCATAGCAAAAAAAAAAAAGTTTTTTGTTTTGCAGCTCATCGTTAACAATTATGTAGAAAAGTTATTTTTCATGAGGTGTGAAAAGGCTGACCTTGCAGTGTGGGGAATAAAAGTACAAACAGGTTGAGGCAAATCCTCTGTTTGAGATTAGACAGATAATAGGCCTTTGCACCTACAGAATATGTACAGTATACAGGCATGTGCAGAATGAAGGCAAACCAAAACACACTGTTGAAACTTCAACTAATAAAAGTAGTGCACATGAAAAACATGTTAGGGAAAACAGTCTGGGTTACTCCTGCCTCAGGCAAAGGTAAACCCATTCGTGGGATTGCTTTTGCTCAAGGGCCTGGGTGCACTTGGTGGGTGATGCGAAAAGATGGAGAAGTCCGATGTGTGCCTCAAGGGGATTTGATTTTAGGTTAAAATAGCCAGAATTAAACTGTATGATATTAGTTGCTATATAACCCTGCTACTGTATGTTATCATTACTATAATTGTTATATGCTATATCCATAGTACTATAGTAAGAATCAAGCAAGAAAGAACTGTGATAAAACTGAGCAAAGCGCAGTAGAGGTGGGTCCAGAACTGACTCCAGCATGCAACAATCCAACGGTGCACACCATCCTCCTGCTGCGCCAAATGTCATCTGCTCGTCACACCGCACTGAAGCCCAATTCTGCTCTACCGACTGAGAGGACTTTGCACCATCCCTCCTGCCCAGACAGACTGGTGTGATAGATGGAGCCCAGAGTCAGAAACTAAATGAACTCAACAAACATTTTATGAACATAACCCATGAACTAAAGAACTGTTATCTCTGTGTGTGTATACTTATATATATATATATCATTGTTCATATGTCTCAAAGGGATGGAAAGGTGGTGATGATTGATCATAATGTAACTAAAGGTATGGGAACTGAGCATGACGTCAATGGTATAGAATAAGGGGTGGATACTGTCCTGGTTTCGGCTGGGATGTAGTTAACTGTCTTCCTAGTAGCTGGTACAGTGCTATGTTTTGAGTTCAGTATGTGAAGAATGTTGATAACACTGATGTTTTCAGTTGTTGCTCAGTAGTGTTTAGACTAGAGTCAAGGATTTTTCAGCTTCTCATGCCCAGCCAGGGCACCTGACCCAAACTGGCCAACAGTGTATTCCATACCATGTGACGTCCCATCTAGTTTAGGAACTGGGAAGTGGGAGGGCAGGAATTCACCGCTCGGGGACTGGCTGGGTGTCGGTCGACGGGTGGTGAGCAATTGCCCTGTGCATCATTTGTACATTCCAATCCTTTTATTACTACTGTTGTCATTTTATTAGTGTTATCATTATCATTATTAGTTTCTTCTTTTCTGTTCTGTTAAATCGTTCTTATCTCGACCCAGGAGTTTTACTTTTCCTGATTTTCTCCCCCATCCCACTGGATGGGGGGGAGTGAGTGAGCGGCTGCGTGGTGCTTAGTTGCTGGCTGGGGTTAAACCACGACAGCTCCAGAGTGGGCAGTGGGGCTGCAGCACGCAGTTTCAGCTCTGCACTCCATGGCTGCGCTGGGACTGGGGCACCTCACTTCTCCCCAGCTATTGCTCTGGGCTCTGGACACTCCTTGATCTCCTACCCTTGGGCCAAGCTTTTCTACAGAACCAGGGAGATCACAAGTACATTTTTCCACAAGCAGAAAACCAGTGTCTCCTGGAGCTAGGATCTTAGCTACAAGACTATGATTTCTTAGCAGGTTCCCTTTACAGGTGGCAGTAGACATGTGGGCTCCCAGAGAATAACCTTCAAAAACTTACCACAATGAGTGCAACAACAGACAGTGTATAGTAGATTGAATCTCTCAAGAGACTCCACGATGACAGTGCAACGACCTGGGAAAACAGGCAAAGAGAGGATGTCAGCCAGGCTCTCAGCAGCACGACTGCCACACTAACGGTGCGTGACAAAGTTAAGCCCGTCACTCTGTGTAAGCTGTCCCCACATGTGCTAGGACACAAAGAGGAGACCCAAGTCAGGAAACACCCTGGCTTTCTGTGGCTGCTCGAGGAACAGCCACTAGAGAGATGGGGGGATGGCCAAATCTGAAGAGCAAAAGGTATACAGTCATGGGCAGCAGATGACTTCCATGCAAAGTCACAGACATGCTAAATCACACCAGTGTTGTCAAAGCCATAGAAGGGGGAATCAAGTCCCAAGTATTTATGGATGACAGAAGTTTTCCACGAGCTCAGCAGGCTATCTGATATCCTTTTCACCCCGAAATCCCTCCTGTACACACACCACAGAGCCTGCAGTACCAGTCCCTGCAGGCTGAGCTGTCCCCCAGGTCTGGCTGTGTGCTGTAGCCAGAGGCGGTTGAACCACAGGCAGGCATGGGATGGCCTGCCACAGAGGAGGCTGCGAGTGCTGCTGCTGTCAGGGCAGTGGGAAGGGGCTCAGCTTTACCAGCAGGAGCCTTCTGTGCCAGCGCTGATGCTTGGCAACGAGTGCCTTGATGGAGAATGGTCACAGGAGATGAACAGTCCTGTCGAGACTGGGACAGGATGTGACCACTCCTTCCACCCACCCCTCTGGTTTGCATCTGTTTCTTGTATTAATTTTCCCCAGCCTGGGACTCCTGCCTTCCTTGAGAGAGGAAACCAACCTGAAACGCTGAGCAAGAGTGCAAGGTATGCAATGGTCCAGTGGGCAGGGGAGCACCACCAGACACAGTCCCCAGCTACTGCCTAGCAATATGGGTCCTCCCCATCCTTGTCCTACCGCCATGCAGTGCCTACGTCCGCTGTGAGTCCAGCTGCTGGCATCTCATACCCTAGGTTTCCAGGAATTTTAGACTGCTGGATGATGGGCTTGTCCTTGCTAAAAACATCAACTTGACCCATGCCAACTCATTCAGGGGAGGATAACTTGGGCAACAGAAGTCGTACTGCAAAATAAGAGTCTGACAGCACAGAGCAGCCAGGTCCCCAGCATGCTGCTAGCCTGGACCTTGGCAGAGGCACGGCTTCACCCACCACACTAACAGATATCACTACAGCTCCATGTGCATTTGCACAGGTTTTGGGACAAATACTCAAGTTAACACTCCAGCAAAGCGTTAAGAACGTAAAATGAGAATTTGTATGCAACAGAGGATAAAATGGGATTGCTGTGCAGTTCATTTCACTTGACACCTTCCAGAACCACAGAAATGAGGAGGAATCATCATTGTAGGCCGAACAAGCCTGGAATTCAGGTCTTAGAAGAAAAAAATACCAGTGAGTAAGTTAGCCCTTAACTTCATTACTAGTATTCAAAAGGGCAGATTAAAAGCAGTCATGTGGTGGTAACATCTTTAGTATGATTACATTTTTTGGAGCCCTAAGAAGGCCCCTCAGTAGAAGCTTCTCCTCAAATCTTTACTTCCTATTTCTGGAGTGTATTTCAAACACTGTGGGTCACATCCTTCACAGGTGTAAACCACAAGGAGGCAGATGGGAGGTGGCTAATTTACACTGATTTGGATCTGGCCCCTGAATGTATAAATGAATTTTCTGACCACATCCTCCAGTCATGCTTCTGCATGAATTCAGTCAAACAAACAGTAACTTCATTTTCATTTCTATGATATCTAAAGAGAGGTCCTATTTCAGAGTGCTAGCAAAAATAGTTTCCCACATTTCTCTGCATATTAAATCTTACAATGTTAATGCCCAGTGTAAAGTCTCTTTATGCAACCACTGACATGTAAGAAACTCCTATCTAAAATAATAAAGCAGGCCTTTAAAGTCCTTGAGTAAGATTAGATTTGAACCAGCTGACCATACATTTCAATGTATGTAGGGATAGATGAATGGAGATGCTTCATGATGGAAATTTCCAAATGTAGAAACCTGGAGTTGGGTTCATAACTCTATTCAGAGATCCTTAATTAAATCTCACATCTTATAGATAGTAGGCCCCTTCATTTTGATTGAGCAATTTTTGTAAGAGAGTTTATAAAATAATTTGACATTATTCCACTCAGCTTTTATGACACTGCTTAAGGTCCTATGCACTTTTCTCAGCATGGATGCTGGTGGGGATTTTACAGCTGTAAAGTTAAGCTCTGCATAAAAGTTACAACACTTCCGAAACAAATGACAAACCCCATATGAACAGGCTTGTTGGCAACTGTTGCTATTCTATCTAATAAACTCTCTCCTGGGTATAAGGGGTGTCACCATGCAGCACAGTGTACCTGCGAAAGCAAGATGTTCCAGTTACAAAGAGTCAAGCTAGTATCTCTCCTGTTCTTTGATATTCTACAAGTATTCTACAATATCAAGAAAGCAGTCTGCAATATTTTTCCAGGGAATTTTTCTCAGACACTGAATGAGCACATTAAGATCCAGATGCTTAAATGCAGCTATCTAGCAGGGACCTAGTGCACAAAAGTCACAGACCGAGATACTGTGGGAATCACAAGGACTCTTGCATTGATTTCAGATTGGATTGAAGGGAACATGCTCATGCCTGGGACTTGTACAGGCTGCTCACATTTCACAGACATCCTAGTAGGTCTCCCTGATGCAGTAACGACGGGGCAATTAAATCTCTGCTCTCCTTAGGGCGTGAGTCATTTAACTGAAGTCTTTGAACCATTTGATCACTGGGAAGAAGAATCTGATACAGGATAGCTGTGCACATAAGGTAACCATGCACTGAGGGTAAAAGGAGCTAATTAGCATGGAGGGAAATGGCAGTACTTTCAGCCTGCTGACAAGAATCGTGTAGTCTAGTTATAACTGTCAAGACCATGAATGCCTGAGTTGTGCCATATAGTCTTGCAGCAACCAAGGACTCCACATAAATCTTAATGCATTGGAAACCACTTAAACTGCAGTATAGCAGACTAAGGCAGAAAGGAAATCAGGGAAGCAATCAGCTTGGGTAAAAACATGATCAAATTTGAGTTTTAACTCAGCAATACTGTAACCCAGCAGAGAGCTGGTCCTTTGGAAGCTGAGCATCAGGAGGCAGCTGTAAAACCACTGATTGTCAGGTTACACGTTTCCTTCATTTAAAGGAAGTATCTGAAATTCAAACCCCAGACAAGTGCCCAGTAGCCCTCTCTTGGCTACTACACTGGGGACTGAATCTGGCATCCCCAGAGCTGAAAGGAAGAGCTCTTTAGTCCAGGCTTAAATGAGAGCAGTCCCCAACAAGTGCAACACAGATGAGGACCCCTAGTGCATGCTCACCTGCATGCCACAGCATCATTCCTATGGGTAAAACTACCCATATTAGATATTTGGTTTCTCACTGGTAAACTTTTACCCTGCAAACTCTCATGTATAACGTTTACTACTCAGAATGCTTATTTCCCTTTTTGAAGGGCTGAGCAGAGCAGGGAAATCAAGATTTTATCAGTTCCACCCTGATTTCTGCAGTTCTTAACTCCTGAAGCAGTGGCCCCATGCAGCACATACAATCTTCTCCATCTAGCACACACAAGGAGATAAGCCACTGGGGAGATCACTGAAAATCAGACTGGCACTGGTTGCTACTGGCACCTGCTGCTCTTGCCACCTAAGTTAGCTCAGGGCACCCAGGGCCCCAGTAGCAATACACTCCATGCCCCATCCTAGGGCTTCACCATTTATCCTCTATAAAATTGGCCGTTCTCTCTTCTTCTCTTCCACATTATTTCTCTCACCTTAGCAGTGTGGAAGCTCTTCTCCCATCCAGAAGAGACGTGGCAACAGAGGCCATCCAGCTGGCTTTTTTAAAGCCTGCTTCTCACCTGCTCTCCCCATTAAGGTGATGGGCTGAAGATGAAGCATGTGATGCAGAACATGGCTGCTGCAACCTTAGCGAGGATGTTTGCGCTCCTGCTCCTGTTGGCTCCGGCCAACAAAGGTGCAAGGCAGTCCAGAGGGGTATGCACTGCTGGATATTTTCTCTGCTCAACTTTCCAGGGGAAGCATGTCGAACATTATCTAAGCACATCCACATTCTTCAGAGGTCTTTCTCACTCTGAATTGTTCCAGGGCTTTTTCTCCTCTCGTGGCCCGTTCTATGCTTGACATTCTTGGGCTGAATGATCAGCTACAAGCACTGCCTGGAAATGCTAGGCTTTGGAAGCAATCTTCCTGATCTTGTTTCTCTGTTACCCTCTGGCACAGAAGGTCTAGATTTTCAGGTATTAAGAGCTAGTAACTTAATTTGTTAATGTGGACAGGCAGGAATGCTCGGGCAAGGGTGTCAAAAGATTAAAGACAATCCCTGTGGCAATTAGCCTTAAGAGTCTACGGAGATCAACAGAGATGCGCCGACAATGAATCCACTGCTTGCCTCACAGCTGGAAGCATCTCCTTCCCAGCTGACACACGCATGGTGTTCTTGACTCCTCATATGTAGTTTGGTACATCGATGTTAGATCTTGACAGAGAGATTGCCGTTCAGCAGAATGCGTTTTTGGGCAAAGATGAGCATTTCTCATGAGTTTTAAAGGGAAGTGGTAGAACGTCTCTAATTCATTAGACATAGTTTTAATACAAACATCTCCCACAACACTGCACTACAAGCAAATGCTCCTTAGTGACTGACCATGGTTACTATTTTGGGTAGGCCTTCCATGCAGCTCTGAGGTCCATGGGTGCTTCCAAATTAATCACCGGTCTGGAATTTTACTCCACAAAGTTTGAATGAGGCTGTACTGAGAGCCACAAAGCTCTTTTCTGGAGAAGCAGCTTTTTCTTTCAGTGGTCAGTTATAGTCTGAAAGATGACTGTAAACTGAGACAGCCTTACCCGGCAACGCTGCAAGACCGGTTAAGAGAACAGGCAGCAAACTCGAGCCCCTTTTCCCTGCTGTTGTCTTTCCCCCTCCTCAGAGACAGGAAGCCAAG